AATTGTCAAACTTGGCTGATGTTGACTTACAGGAGATATCCCTTCTGTCTTCCTCCAGGCAAATACTCCAAGGACCAAGATGATGTAATATTTCGTCGGTACAAAGCCAAGTGTGAGCAGCTGCTTCTAACTAACAGCAGGTATGTTACTGCGATCAGAATGGAGAATATCCTTTCCACAGTGACAGAGCGGATTGAATCAGACTTATATTGAGCTCAATTTCCAGAGATGTATCCAAAGATACAACCAACCAAGCACAACTGAGGAAAGGCAAGTTTTTTTTTGTTTCCATTGTCAATTGACATCATGCTAGTTCCAATTAATTTCATTGATAGCCCATTAACATTCACATCATGTTTGAAATGTTAACGGCTGACTCCTTGTTGAAAGTACTCGAACAGGAACGGAATCAAGTTTACACTTAGTAAGGGTATTTTAAAATGTCACAAACCAGACAAAGAAAGACTCCTCCTCCCGCCCCCTTGATCATGACCCCGCCACTGACCACCAAAACATCATCTCCCAGACCATCCACAACCTCATCACCTCAGGTAACCTCCCACCCACAGCCTCCGACCTCATCGTTCCCCAACCCCGCACCACCCATTTCTGCCTCCTTCCCAAAATCCACAAACCTGACTGCCCTAGTTGACCCATTGTCTCTGCCTGACCTTGCCCCACCGAACTTATCTCCAATTATCTCGACTCCATTTTCTCCCCCCTGGTCCAGGAACTCCCCACCTACGTCTGTGACACCACCCATGCCCTCCACCTCCTCCAAAACATCCGATTCCCTGGTCCTCAACACCTCATCTTCACCATGGACGTCCAGTCCCTGTATACTTGCAATCCCCATGCAGATGGCCTAAAAGCCCTCCACTTCTTCCATCTCCCGCAGGCCCGACCAGTCCCCCTCCACCGATATCCTTATCCGCTTAGCTGAACTCGTCCTTAACCAAAACATCATCTCCTTCAACTCCTCCCACTTCCGACAGACAAAGTGGGTGGCCATGGGTACACGCATGGGCCCAAGCTATGCCTGCCTCTTTGTAGTATACATGGAACAGCCGCTCTTCTGCAGCTACACTGGCCCCATCCTCTGTTATATCGATGACTGTATCGGCGCCGCCTCGTGCTCCCGTGAGGAGCTCGAACAGTTCATCCACTTTACTAACACCTTCCACCCCAACCTTAAGTTCACCTGGACCATCTCTGATACCTCTCTCTCCTTCCTGGACATCTCTGTTTCCATCTCTGGCAACCACCTGGAAACTGATATCTATTTCAAGCCTACTGACTCCCAGAGCAAACTCGAATGCACCTCCTCTCACCCACCTTCTTGCAAGAATGCCATCCCCTATTCCCAATTCCTTCGCCTCTGCCGCATCTGCTCCCGAGATGAGGCATTCCACTCCCAGACATCGCAGATGTCCTCGTTTTTCAAGGACTGCAATTTCCCCTCCACAGTAGTCAAAAATGCCCTCGACCGCATCTCTCGCATTTCCCTCAACTCATCCCTCACACCCACCCTCCACAATAACAACAAAGACAGAATCCCTCTTGTCCTCACGTATCGCTCCACCAACCTCCGGATTCAACGCATCATCCTCCGCTACTTCCACCACGTACAATCTGACCCCACTACCAAGGACATTTTTTCCCTCCCCACCCTTATCTGCCTTCCGGAGGGACAACTCTCTGTGACTCCCTCATCCGCTCCACACTCCCCACTAGTCCCACCACCCCTGGCACTTTTCCCTGCAACCGCAGGAAGTGCTACACCTGCCCCGACACCTCTTCCCTCATCCCCATCCCAGGCCCCAAGAAAACATTCCACATTAAACAGATGTTCACCTGCACATCTGCTAATGTGGTGTATTGTATCCAATGTTCCCGTTGTGGCCTCCTCTACATCGGGGAAACCAAGCAGAGGCTTGGAGACCGCTTTGTCGAACACCTACGCTCGCATCGTGACAAATGACTACACCTCCCAGTCGCAAACCACTTCAACTCCCCCTCCCAGGCCTCCTCCAGTGCCACAACGATGCCACCCGAAGGCTGCAGGAACAGCACCTCATATTTTGCTTGGGAACCCTGCAGCCCAATGGTCTCAATGTGGACTTCACATGCTTCAAAATCTCCCCACCCCCAATCTCATCCCAACACGTCCCCGTCTCCTTGACCTGTCCATCTTTTCTCCCACCGATCCGCTCCTCCCACCTGCACTTCCTGCCTACTAGCCTCATCCCCACCTCCTTGAATTGTCCGTCTTCCCTCAACTGACCAACCCCCATCCCAACTCCCTACCTACACTTACCTTTACTGGCTCCAGCCCCACCTCCCTGACCTGTCCATCTTCTCTCCACCTATCTAGTCCTTTATCCACCTGCCATCATCGTCTCCTCACCTCTCTATTTATTTCAGAATCCCCTTCCCCTCCCCCATTTCTGAAATAGGGTCCAGTCCCAAAACGTCAGCTTTCCTGCTCCTCTGATGCTGCCTGGACTGCTGTTCATCGAGCTCCACACCTTGTTACCCCCTCAAAGAAAGACATCACGTTGTTACATAGTTTCAACAACCATGTGTGACAAGTAGTGTTGCTGACAAGTAGCAAATCACTACTGAGCGCATACAGACACATACACAAAGGTGCTGACTGATTCAGACTGAGTCCCAAATATGCTCATTGTATCAACACATAAGATACAAAGACTAACAACAATGTATACCCATACACACTGCAGGTACCAGAAGCGAATACAGACAAAATGTTTATGGCTTTTTGTTATATAAGCAGAGGAGTCTACAGGACAGAACAAAGACCTTTCAGCCCATCAAGTTGATAGTAGACAAAAACAAGCACCTGACAATTCTAATTCCATTCAGCCAGTATTCCATTGCAATAAGTGTGTCATGGCAGTATAAGATTTGCCAACTCCAACTTTATCACAACATAATTCTCAACTTGTTCACCTTCAGGAATAGAAACCATATTTTCCACCTATCTAGCTTATTTTTTTTTTTTTTAAAAAGAACATTGTTTAACTTTGTTTCCAAATTCACTTTAGTTTTCTACAGTGTCACTTGCCCCTCCCAATGAAATATTACAAAAAAGCAATTTCTTCACATTAATGATATAATCACCATTTAAAACAATGAGGAATGATCCATTTAACTAAATCTTGTAATTGTTAAATTTTATCATCTATTAGCAAAAAGAGTTCAACCATGTTCAATAAGTTTAAATCTTCTCCACTGTAAGACAGAAAATACAAGTCCTTTTGCTTTCCTCATCCCCACCACAGAGCATCATAAGAGTATTGCTGATGGCTTGCACCATTACACCACCGAGCAGGGTTATGTGATATCCATGATAGAAGAATTAAGTGAATTAGCCAATACTCTTTCCTGTAGAAGGAACATTGTGGTCATTCAGCTGAATACAGTTGATTTGTTCATTGCCCTTTCCCTTAGACTCTAACAAAGGAAATCACATCTATCCATTCCTCAGCATTATTCGCAAAATTATGTTACTATGCACTAGAAAAGCTGATGACATCCTGAAGAACAGCCCTTGATATAATTTCTCCCAGTTAGACTCTGCACTGTTGGAGTTACAAAACCCTTTGCTTTTACATTACACAATCCATTACACAAAACAAATGCATGGAGCAAAAACTGACAGGTACGGGTTGATAACTGCACTCATACATTCTCAAAGCAGAAACTGACAGGCATGGATTGGTAACTAAATTCACAGATTCACAAAGCAGCAGCTGGCATGTACAAATTGATAACTATACTTCGATATTCACAGAGCAGAAACATATAGAGAAAGATTAATATCTGTACTCTTATTCATGTTGTAGAAACATATATGTACATATTGCTAACTACACTCATAAACACATACATCAGAAACTGACGAGGAGAAATTGCTATTTATATTTCTATACCAGAGCTGGTAAGTCCAAATTGCTAAGCACATTCACATATTCACAGCACACTCACTGGCTGATAGGGAAAGATTGATAAATGCCCTGAAATAGTCACGTAGCAGAGATTGCCAGTTACAGATTAATAACTGCACACTCAGATACACAGAGCTGAAACTGACAGGGAATGACCGGTAAATAGACTCAGACGTTCACACGGTAGTTACTGACAGAGAAAGTTTGATAACAAATCTATCCACATAGCAAAAACCGACAGGAACAGGTTAATAATAAAACTCCCAGTTTCACATTGTTTAAATTGACAGGTACAGTTTTATCACTAACCTGACATTTTCACAGAGCAGAATCTGACAAGTACAGATCGATAACTAAACTCAGATTGACAAGCAAATATAAACAGGTACAGAAATGACAACTACACTCACGCATTGACCATCAGAAACCGAAGGTATAGATGCACAACTATACTCATTCACATGGCAATAACGGAGAGCTACAGCTTGATAACTACAGTCACCCACCTGCATTACAGTAACTGTCAGGGACAGATTGATGACACTCACATTCATATGACAGAAACTGACAGGTACTGATTAATATCTAAACCCACATTTGGAAATAGCAGAAACTGACAGAGACCGATAATTATACTCTCATTATCATTGCAGAAACTGAGATTTATAACTGCACTCTCACATTCACATAACAGAAACTGAGAGTACAGATTTGATAACCATAGTCGCACATTCATATTGCAATAAGTGACCGGGATGGAATGATCCTACCTATGAAATATTACAAGAAAGCAAGAAAACAATGTCATTTGTTCAAATTATCAACACAGCTTCCCACAAAATCCTGATATCCTGAAAATCTACAAAAACTAGATCAGGCCCTGGCAATTTATCCACCTTTTATGTTTTTTTACCGCCTCTAACACCTCCTGTTATGTCATGTGGACTGTTTTCAAGACATCCATATTTATTTCCCCAAGTTCCCTCGCCTCCACAAGGACAGAATGATAACTAAACTCTTATTCAAATAAGAGAAACAGATGGGGAGAGAATGATAATTACTCACATTCGCAAACCTGAAACTGACCAGTGCAGATGAATAACTACACTCAGATTTACAGAGCAGAAGTTGATGGTGACAGCATGATAACTGCTCTCACATACTCACAGAGCAGAATCTGATGGTATATGTTCATAACAGAACTCTTACATTCACCTTGCAGAAACTGACAGGTATAGATTAATAACTGCACTCTCAGATTGACAAAGCAGAAACTGACAGGAACAATTTGATAAATACACTCACATAGCAGAAACTGACAGGTACAGATCAATTCTCTCATATTGACATTGTAAACCAAGAAAAATTGGTACAAATTAATAACTGCAGTCATATACTGTCATTGCAGAAATTGACAGGTACAGGATGATAACTTTCATCCCATTAAAAAAAACAGAGACTGGCAGAGACAGATTGATAACTGCATTCCCACATGTTTCCTTTTTTTTTTATTCATTCATGGGATGTGTGTGTCACTGACTATCCCTAATTGTGCACAGAAGGCAGTTAAGTGCCAACCACATTGCTGTGGGTCTGGAATCACATGTCAGCCAGACCAGGTAAGGATGGCAGATTTTGTTCCCAAAAGGACGTTAGAGGACCAGATTTTTTTCGTGGAGAATTGGCAGTAAACTCTTATTTTTAGTTTATTGTTGAATTAAAATTCCACCATCTGCCATGATGGGATTTGAACCGGGGTCCACAGAACAATATCTGGCCCTCTGGATTAATAGTCCAGCAATAGTACCATTAGATTATTGCCTTTTCTATTCACATTCACATAGCTGAACCTGACAGTTATGGATTGGTAACTAGACGCTCAAATGCATGGAGCTAAAAGTGACAGAATATATTGATAACTGCACTCTTATATTAACAGAAGGGTTGCTGACAGGAACGGATTGATAACTGTATGCACAAATTCATATTGCAAAATTTGGCACGTACAAATTGATAAATGCACTCACACATTAGCAAACCAGAAACTGATGGGCAGAGGGTAATAACTAATGAATTAATAATTAATCATTCACAGAGCAGAAACTTGCAGGTCTCGTCTGATAATTACACAAGAATATTCACTGGGGAGAAACTGACAAGGTCCAGATTGATAATGACAATCATATTCACACAACAGAAACTGGTCGGTACACATTGATAAGCACACTCGCTCAATTACAGAACAGAAACTGACAGTCACAGACTGATAACTACATTTTCATATTCATGTGTCTGAAAATGACAGGTACGATTTAATGAATATGGTTGCATTTTTACAAGCAGAAACACTCGGGGTTATGTTAATAACTGCACTCACACATTCACATCTCAGGAACTGACAGGTAAAGATGAAAAACCAAGCTCACATACTGACATAGCAGAAACTGAGAGGCATAGATTGATGCCTGCACTCTTACATTCAGATAGCAGAAAACGACAGGCACAGATGGATAAGTATACTCACCTTGCAGATACTGATACGAACATTCCCACATCACAAACTAACAGATAAAGACTTACAACGACATTCTCATATTCACAAAGGAAAGAAAAACTGTCAAGTACAGTTTGATAACTATACTCAAATAATCACAGAGCAGAATCTCACAGGTACATGTTGATAACTACTCTCTCACATTCACCTTGCAGAAATTGACAGATACAGATGGATAACTACACTGACACATACACAGCTCAAACTGACAGGAATAGTTTGACAACTACACTCATTCATTCATGTGGCAGAAACTGACAGCTACAGATGATAACCACCACACTCATATTCACAGAGCAGAAACTGACAGGTTTACAAGTTGATAATCACATTCACATACTCACAACACACATACTGATAAGGAATGATTGACATATTCACCTAGCAGAAACTGACTGGTACATAATGATAACTACATTTATGTATTCATAAAGCTGAATCAGACAGGTACAATTTGATAACTAAACTCATATTGAAATAGCAGAAACTGAAAGTTAGAGACTGATAGCAACACTCTCAATCTCATAGCTGAAACTGCTAGGTGTTGGTTGATATCTGCACTGAAATTCACATCGCAAGAAGTGGCAGGTACAGATTAATTCCTTTCTTAGATATATAGAGGAGACACTGACAGTGACAGGTTTGGAATTACACTCTCATAGTCACATAATAAACTCACAGGAACAAATGGATAATAACACTCCCACATCACATAGCATAAAATCACAGATGCAGTTTGATATTTACACTTAATTTCACACTGCAGAATCTGACAGGTACAGATAACTGCACTCATTTACTGACTTGGCAGAAACTGACAGGCATAGATTCAAACTTGCGCTCATGTATTCACATTGCAGAAACTGACGGGTACACTCTCGTATGCAGTGAAAATTTCCTGACAAAATTTGAAAATGTTATCCATCTCTAACATTTATCCAAAATTTGATAAAGACGTTGAAATATTCACAGGGCAGAATAACACATGTATATACTGATAATAACACTCTCGCATTCACTGAAGAGAAATTAACAAGGAAAATTTGATAAGTACATCATACATTCATGTTGCAGAGACTGTCAGGAGCAGTTGCTTCCAAAATTCTCATATTCACAGAGTGGAATCGATCAGGGATAGACTAACGATTACACACACACATTCAGCAAGCAAAACTGACAGGTATAGATTGGTAACTACATTTACAGATTCACACACAAAAGTCTGGTAAGAACAGATCGAAACTAAATTCACAGATAAACTCATAGCAAAAACGGACAGGTACAGAATTATGAATACATTCACACATTCACAAAACCAAAACCCAGCAGTGAAAAAATGATAAATAAACACTCCGATTCAGAGAGCAGAAACTGACGAGGAAAGATTGATAAATACACTAACATGTGCACATCGCTGAGACTGAAGGGAACAGATTGACAAATACACCCACACTCTCAGAGCAGAAACTGACAGCTACAGATTGATAACAACACACATGTATTCACATGGAAGAAAGTGGCATGGACAGATTGACTGCAGATTGATAACCACAGTCACACTTTCTCATTGCAGCTACTGAGTGGGACATATTGATTGACAATCACTTGTTCACATGACAAAACTGACAGGTGGAGACTTAAAATGACAGTCAAATTCACATAGCAGAATCTGACAGGCACAGATTAATAACTGCACTCACACATTCACATTGGCTGAAACTGACAGGTACATATTGATAAATGCATTACCACATTAACAAACCAGAAACTGACAGGTCCAGATTAATACTGACACTCTCAGATGAACAGAGCAAAACTGACAGGCTGGTAAGTAAACTTGGACATTGAAATTGTGGAGACTGACTGGTACATATTAATAACTGTATTTGGATTTTCACAGGTAGAGATGGATAACTACATTCAAATATTCATACAGAAAAAGTTGGCTGGTACAAATTGATAACTATATTTACATATCCACAAAACGGAAACTAAGATGACAAATTGATCAATACATTGACATTACAGAAACTGACGGTGCTTTAAGCTGTGGGGCAGTGGGCTGTGTGCAGGAAGGTGGGATTAGAATAGCCATCTGTTTGTCTTTGGGTTGGAATGGACAAGATGGGCCAAACAGCTCTCTTCAGTGCTATATCAATTCAATGAATGCATGGTTCTACATCAATCTGTCCCTGTCAGTCTCTGCTGTGTGAATACATAAGTAATTTAACAAAGGCTTAGATTGTGTGAGTGTAGTTATCATTCACCAAGTAGGAGCTGACATGAATAGATCAACAACTAAACTCATATTCACAGACCCACTTGCATTGGGTAGCCCCATTCATGGAGCTGTACACCTGTTGGTTAGTTTCTGGACTTCACTCAATTGGTATGGAATTAACAGAAAGAAAATTTACCAGACAGGGAGCAGCTTAGAGCAAGAGTGGAATCAGACACACAATTCTGTTCAAATTCCTGGCTTGAAAGAAAATATTGTAATGATTATTAAGTAAACATTGCATTGATCAATTAAATATTATCAAACTTGGCTGATGTTGATTTACAGGAGGTTTTTCTTCTGTCTTTCTCCAGGCAAATACTTGAAGGACTAAGAGAAAGTGATATTCCCTCAGTCCAAAGCCAAGTGTGACCAGCTGCTTCTAACAAACAGAAGGTATTTTACCGCTGTCAGAGCAGAGAACATCCTTCCCACAGGCACAGAGCAGATTGAGTCAGACATACATTGAAGTCAATTTCCAGCGAGATATGCTCAAACAACACAGAGGAAATACAAGTTTTTTTTTTTCACCATTCACAATGCACACCTGCCCAGTTTGAACAAATTTCAGCATTTCAAGTTTGACAAAGATCTGCAGCTCGGCTAGTTGCTGGGATAATGTTGCTGACTTGCTCGCTGAGCTGGCTTGTTTTTGTTCAGACGTTTTCATCACCATGCTCGGTGACATTATCAGTGGAGCCTCTGATGAAGTGATGTGTTCTACTCTGCGTGGAATTTATACTGTCTGGTCTGTTATGGTGAGTACTGTCATTTCTGGTTTTGATCTGTATGAGTTTATATATGGGGTCCGATTCTATATGTTTGTTGATTTTGAAGTATGGATGGAAAACCATGCCTCTCGGAATTCCCATTTGTGTCTATGATTGGCTTGGGCTACTATGGTTACTTTGTCTCAGTTAACTTGATGGCCTTCATTGTCTGAATACACAATACATTCAGACAATGAAGGCCATCAGTTGAAATGGGACAAAGTAACCATATAAAAACTGAAAGAACTGTGGATGCTGTAAATCAGGAACAAAAACAAAGTTGCTGGAAAAGCTCATCAGTAACTGGTTCTGAGGAAGGGTCACTGGACCCGAAAGGTTAACTCTGTTTTTTCCTTACAGATTCTGCCAGACCAGCTGAGCTTTTCCAGCAACTTTGTTTTTGTTGGACAAAGTAACCATAGTAGCCCCAGCCAAACATAGACATGCACAGAAATTCCTAGAGGCATGGTTCTCCACACAAACATATAGAATTGGACCCTATATATAAACCCATACAGATGAAAACTGAAATGACAGTACTCACCATAATGGACCAGACAGTATAAATTCCACGCGGAGTAGAACAACATTGCTTCATCGAAGGCTCCACTAATGATGTCACCTCACATGGTGACGCAACGTGTGAACAAAAACAAGCCAGCTCGGTGAGCAAGTCAACGTCACATTTCAGCATTCATAGCCCATTGACATTTACACCATTTTTGAAGATGGATGGACCGAATACTCGTCCCAAATATACACTCAGGAACTGAATCTAAGCTGCATTAAATCACCCTAATAACAACTACCACATAACAAATCGCATTCTCACTGAGAATATTACTGGCTGCCAGAGAGTTAAGCCACGTTATCAAATCGAAGCTGACAAGCATGTATTGATAGCTCTGCTCATTCATTCACATTGCAGAAACAGGCAAAAACAGATTGATGATGACACTCACATATTGACATAGCAAACCTAACAGGTAAAGTTCGCTAAAAACATTCACAAGTTCACATTATAAAAAGGGATATGTACACACTAATAACTATGCTCACATATCAAACTAACAGGACCTGACATATCCACATCATAGAAACACAGAAGAATAGATTGATAATAACACTCCCAGATTCACAGCATAACCTGACAGGTCCAATTTTATAACTGCATTCAAATATCCACAGATTTAAAAAAAAAAATGTCAGGTGCAGTATGATAACTACACTCCACTTTTCACAAGCAGATTCTCACAGGTACATATTGATTACTAACTTCACGTATCCATACAGCAGAAACTGACAGGGACATGTTGATAACTCGTCACACCACTAATATTGTGGTAATAGTGATGGATAGATTCATGACACTCAGATGTTCACATGACAGAAACTGCCAAATAACTACATTCTCGTTCACATTGCACTTACCAACAAAAACAGGTTAATAACTACAATTTTCGATATCAGAAAGTATGAGGTACAAATGAATAACTGTGCTGCAACATTCACCTAGCAGAAACTGGCATTGCAGATCAGTAACTGAACTCCAATGTTGAAATAGCAGAACCTGTCAGGTAGAGACTGAAAGTGCTAAAATAAAAACTGACTGGTACAGATTGATAAATAAAATCACATTCAAATTTCAGAAACTGGCAGGGACAGATTGGTAAATACGCTCACACATTCACACAACAATAACTGTCATAGAAAGATGAGTAAGCACACTCGTATTCACAATGCAGAAATTGATAAGAGCAAATTGATAATTACACACCCAGTTTCACAGCAAATTAACTGACAGGTACAGTTTTGATAACTACATTCACATGTTCAGACAAGAAACTGACAGGCATATATTGACACTCAGATATGCACCCAGCAGAAATTGACAGGTCCAGATCAATCTGGACATAGCAGAAACTAAGAGGGCCAGGTTAATAACTACAGTCACAACCTTCAATTGCACTAACTGACAGGGACACATTAATGACAACAATTACATTTTCACGTGATAGAAACGGACAGGTACAGATAATAAATACATTTCCGTATTCCCAATGCAGAAACTGAGAGAGAGGCTGTGAAATGAACATAAACATATGGATAACTAAACTCTCAATTACAGCAGAAATTGGTAAATACACGCACACACGTACATAGCAAAGACCTGATAGCGACAGATTGATAACTACAATTACACATTCACACAGGAGAGAGCTTCGGGGATAGACTGATAATTACACAAGCATAATCACTGGAGGAACTGATTGGGACAGATTAATTACTACACACTCACATTCGGTCAGCAGAAACTGATGGAGAGATTGTGAGGGAGTAATAATCATTCACCCAGTGGAAGCTGAAATGGCAGATCGATAACTGCACTCCCATTTTTACACAGCCAATAATGAGAAATAAAACTAACCCTTCGTCAACCTGAAATTCTGAACAACGCAAAATCATTCACACTGTAATCAGGGACTCATTGATAGTGATAAAACAAAAAAAAATCTACACACAAGAGATTGTCACCATTAAAATTTGCAAAAGGTACTGTGTTCAAAATATTCTTAAATGACAATAATCAGTGTGAATACAACTGACGTGTTGACAAATAAAGTTCAGAGAAAATCCATGAAAAACAATTATTGCTAGAAACTGAAATGCACAAAATAACATCCACACTAATTAAGTGCAAAGCAAGATTCCAGGAAGTGAAATGGAGGCAGAAAGCTGCTGACACTGATTGAAGAGCCTAAGGGATAGAGAGTAAAATTTGTGTCATCAGCAGAAAGCGAAAGGCACGGGTCACAGTACATCAGTTCACTTTTGTCATCGCGGTAATCCGAGTAAAACTGATACCGACACACGCTGGCAGGTATTCTGAGGAAAGTATGAATAGTTTAGGCCTATACTCATTGGAGATTTGAAGAAGGACGTCAAACCTTTCGAGGAAACGAAAACTGAAGGGTGTTGACGGAGCAGATGCTGATATAATGTCCTTAAACTTCAGAGAGTGCAGAACAAGAAACACGAGCAAGAGAGAACATTCCCTAACTCCCATGTTCATCAAGCACGATGCAATTGTCAGTAGTTCCATCATTTCCAGGAGTGAAACACACCACTGTCAGATTTCAGTGCATTTTGTCACTTGACAACGAACGTGATGACATTTTTAGACGGAGGAGAAAAGAAAACCATTATCAAAAGATGTAGATTAAATCGCGATTAGGATCTCACGATTTAGAGAAAGCTCGGAGTTTGATCCGTGTACAAAATTTCGATTTGCGTTTGAAATTTCATTGCAGATCCGGGCAGATCCATGTTGTGTCCCACACTAACCAATCACAGAAAGGCTAATGTCATGTTTTAACATTCTTGTAAACTACCCATTCAGGAACAAGGCTTTCTCCCATCCTTCATTAGCATTGCTGACGCCGTCAGGCTATAAAAAGTGAGCTCTGAGCCCACTATTATTCTGTGTTGGATATTGAGTGTCGCAATGGTAGAGGAAAAGAAAGGACAAGTTGCCAAGAAGGGCGCTAAGAAAGTGGTGAAGAGGGCGCCAGCGAAAAGCGGCAAGAAGAGGAGAAGGTCCAGGAAAGA